AAAAAATAAAAGCAAAAAATAAATAAATTCAATACCAAAATGTACTACAAGTGCACATCACAAAATACTTTAAAATGTAAAAAATTTAATACATTGAGCATGAGATTTTTTTTATTTTTTGCATTTCAACATGAAACTAAAAATAAATCTATTTATTAAAAATATATTCTTATCTCTAGATTTTAGGGGTGATAGACTAAAATATACAGTCAACTTTTTTGTGGGATTCATCCATTTATATTTCAATTAGCAGTTTGTCATTATCAGTAACCAGTTGAACAGTATGATAAATCCTGCCCACATGTGCTTTAAATAAACACAGAAGACACAAAAGAGCAATAATACACCAGGCAGCAGATGTTTAATGCTTGTATGTTTGTACAGCTAACATTTCATTGAAGCGCTTAGCAGAACTGATACACAAAATAAAAGGCACCATGCACAAACTAAATACATAAGACAAAAACAGGAAACCCATTATGTACAACATAAAAAATATATAATTTTCATAATCTTTGGGACTATATGTACAAAGGTTTAAAAATGTATTTACAAACACTCAACGCACATTCATGAGAATTTGACAAAACAACAACAACAAGTGCTTCCGTCAGCGATGCACGGGTTTATTTGTGTGTTTAGTGCCCATCAGCGTCTGACAGCAGGGCTGGCGAGGAGGCCCAGGATGGTGGAGAGACAGTGAAGCTTCTCTTTGACCAGCTCTGGTAACTTCTCATTCTCTTTATATCTGAGAGGAAACAAAAAGCATACGAATTCAGAACAGTATCTCTGCCAGCATTCATTCTTAAACACAACATCAAATCAAAAACAGGCCTCGATTAAAAAACATTTTTGCAATTTAAAAAATGTAAATGCACAATTGGATTATGCATTATAGACGTTACATACATCGCAAATGCAGTGTCATGGTTCTTAAATAATATTTCTTTCTTTATAACGAGCTTTACCTGGTGATGTGTCCATCAGGGGAAGTAAAAGTGATGCAAGAGACACCAACTTGGACCATCAGCTGGGATCCATCATTAAACTGAACCCATACCTCACCAGTAGTTAACTAAAAAGGAATTAATTAATAAATAAACACACTTAAATGCTAATACTAATATATATATATATATATATA